TCCCCATATGTACAAAAATGACAGGTAGTAATACCACAGTTTGTTTTGTCAGTGGTAAGTGTAGATAAATTTAAAACAATTTAGATGGGTTTCTTAGCCAACATGTACAAGGATATGGAAAGTGGTAGTGATATAAACACACACACACATGCACACTCAGGTTGAACTGGATGGACTGGTGTCTTTATTCAACCATACCAACAACTATTTTCTCCAACCTAAGGTTGGTCTTAAACCTACTTTTGGTGGTACCCATGTGAGATCAGTATCATTAATAGAAAACATAAGGTAGTATACAGCCATCATAAACATAGCTAAAGGTTTTGAGGTCCAAAAGAATGTTTGAAAAGTGATTCAAGTTGGTGAACTCAGAGCATCTAAAAAGACCATAGGTGCTGAAAACTGCCCAATCTCCACTAGTACCTAGATGCATAGTTGAGCTGTACATCTAATGCTGACTGTAAATCCCAAGTAAACGTTCATTTAAATACATTCTAGGTGCATAGAAACAAAAGGTGGGCTTCCAGTTGGACTTCTGTAGAAAGTATCCACAGCCTGAGTAGAAAGGCCTGTTCCCAGTTATCAAGCTGCAAAGACGGACCCCCGTTCTGTGTGGAAACAGTAGTCAGAGCTAGAACTCACCAATCAGCAGGGAGCATGGGTTTGGCAGATTGCAGAGCAGATTGCAGAGCCAGCCCCAGGTCTGGCTGGGGGTGTGTTGGGCTTCTGCAGAGAGGCCACTGCTTTCCGCAAGAGAAGTTGTCATTGCTGACTTCTTCCTCTGAAAATGTTAATTTAGCCTGTCTGTCAGGCTCCATGCACACGGGGCGTTTTAATAACGCCGGTAAAGTTAGCTGTGTAAAGTCATGTTAAAAACGTGAGTTTTTCAACATTCTTGTATTAGCGTTTAGCGGCATTTTGCCGCGTTTTTCAGCGCTAGAGTGTTTTTACAGCTAAAAAACTCCTCTAGAAACCCACTAGTTCTGGGTTTTTTTTCCAGCCAAAAATCGCCCCTGCCAAAAAACGTTGATTACAATCTATGTGTGCATGCACGCATGCTGGGGAGTTTACTGGCTATAGAAAAAAATGTCAAAATCCAAAGACAGCAGCTGTAAAAAGGTCAAGTGTGCATGAGGACTCATGATGACCCTCTTATCTTAATCCCAGTCACTCAGAACATGTATACAGATAAGAACTTCTCACTTTTCTTTGCTTTCCTGATCTGTGACTCAAAGTATTGAAGCCCCATACACACAGGCTGAATGTTGGGCGGTATCGGACAGTTCAATAGAAACTGGCCAACATTTGGCCAGTGTTTACGGCAGCCAGTCCGACAGACGTGGGCCAAACATCCGCCTTCTGCTGAAGGGTCATCACATGGGCTGAATATTGGGCGGTATCAGCCAGTTCAATAGAAACTGGCCAACATTTGGCCTGTGTGTACGGCAGCCAGTCCGACAGACGTGGGCCAAACATCCGCCTTCTGCTGAAGGGGCATCACACGGGCTGAATATTGGGCGGTATTGGCCAGTTCAATAGAAACTGGCCAACATTTGGCCTGTGTGTACAGCAGCCAGTCCGACAGACGCGGCCAAACATCCGGCTTCTGCTGGAGGGGCATCACACGGGCTGAATATTGGGCGGTATTGGCCAGTTCAATAGAAACTGGCCAACATTTGGCCTGTGTGTACAGCAGCCAGTCCGACAGACGCGGCCAAACATCCGGCTTCTGCTGAAGGGGCATGACCGAAAAAGGGTTTGCCGACTGGCATCCAACCAGCGCTCTCAGCCAATGGCTGACAGTGAAGACCTGTGTGTTCTGGCAGGGGGCTGTCCCAATGTCAGGACAATAGCCCATTGGGAAGATTACTGTACTATTGTTAATACAGGATCTCCTCCTGAGCCGTTCATTTTTTTTTTTTTTTTTTAGGTTAGCCCGCTAGGTTGAACAAAAAAAAACTGATAGTGTGTACTAGGCTTAAAACCAAGCAATTTCAGATGAAGGTCAGCAATGCTGACTCCTTTTTTCTCTTAGGAATGGTTTAAGCTGGACATACATGGAGCAAATTATATCCAGTTCCTGAAGAACCAGCCAAAATTCAGGCCATGGAAGGCCCTGTTGGCACCATCTCACCTGTCATCCTTTGATCTGAAAATGGAAGGAGCCAGGAGGAAAATTGGCAGCTGAACAGTGGCTGCATCCAATCAGATGCAGGCAGTGTTTGAGTATCTTGACAGCAGAGTTGCAGTGGAGTGTCAGCAACAGAGATTCCTACTACCACACTGTTAAGCATGGATGGACATCAATAAGTTTTCCTTGTTCAGCCCTGCTGGAGGCTAATGTATGGCCAACTTGACTTTAAAGTGATTGTAAAGTAAAAGTTTTTTAATTAAAATAATAAACAAATTATACTTACCTGCTCTGTGCAATGGTATTGCACAGAACCACTTTAAATCATGAAATATTTGTAAAAGAGCATTGTCTATTCAAGTAGCCCGTGGCATGTCCTTTATCCGCACTGATCTTGTTATACACTGTATACACAGAACTCTCACTGAGTGAATCACACATTTCCTTCTACAAACAGGGATGGCTCTGAACTGCATATATTCATTTCCTGCCTTGTGACTCTATCAGCAGGCTGTGTGCTAGCGTTGTGTGTGCCGAAAAGTATGTGTGTCAGCTGGGCACAGCAGTGGCTTCCCAACATTTTTCAAGTAAGCAATGTGAAAAATGTGGAAAGACAACACATACTACAATTCTACCACAAGTAAATGGGATATGATAAACAGATAGGAAAGAAGACCCAGAATTCAACTAAAAGGAAATCATAGAGATGTGTCAAGGCGAATGAACAGAATGGGGAGTTTGGGGTAAAGGGTGACCAGACAGCACAACTGAAGCCATCTTTGTACACGAGGAAATCCTAGCTGTTGATAACATAGACTCTCTTATTTGTCCTTTGGTCCAGTTTCCTTCCTAAACTCATTTGTTTTCCATTGGCATAGGCTTCATGCACACTGAGCATTTAAAACTGCTTTTAGGGGCATCTGGGTTTTTTTTTCCTGTTTCTACACACCCCGTCTAAACATACGGTAACACTAAGCCAAGGGCAGACTGACAAATCATGGGGCCCCTGGGCAATAGGGGATCATGGGGCCCCTGTGTCCTTGCCCAAACTCAAAAGAGCCTATGAAAAAGGTACCAGGGGCATCTCGCATGGGGCCCCCTACTAACCCCGGGCCCCCGGGCAGTGCCAGAGTTTCCAAATGGTCAGTCCGCCCCTGCATAAAGCACATCAAACACTTGAGAGCCTTCATTCATTTCAATGGCCAGAATAAATTATTATTGTGACCAATAAAATGAATTAATACCCGAGCACTTGACTCGTCTAAACTTGTCTTGCGGGTTTTTTTCTGCCAAAACGCTGCAGCCAGGAGGAAAGGCGTTTAGGAGAGCTGGGCAAACACTTGAAGCAAGTAAACGCGTCTGAAGGCATCTAAACATGCGGTAACACTAAGCACATCAAACACTTAAGAGCCTTCATTAATTTCAATGGCCAGAATAAACTATTATTTTGGCAAATAAAATGAATTAATGCCCAAGCGCTTGACTCCTCTAAACTTGTCTTGAGTTTTTTTTCTGCCAAAATGCTGCTGCCGGGAGGAAAGGCATTTAGGAGAGCTGGACAGCCGCTCTGTGTGCATGAGCCCTTAAACTGTGGCTAGACTATGGGCCTTCAATTATTTACATATTATTAACAAGCAGTAAATGGGCTTTGAGGAGGAACTGAATTCTGAAAGCTGTGCCCAAAAAGCTAGTTAGAGGACCAAGGACTAGTCATCGGTATTGCCTGTATGCTCTGCTCAGCTAATCTTTGGCCCATTACTGACTTACAGTGACTTGTTGTGCTCTGTGTCTCTTTTGCGGAGGCAGCCATTTTAGTAAAGGCAGGGCTTTGCTTCCCTTTATTTGCGCCTCCAGCAAAGAGAACATTAAATCTCAAATCCATATCTCCTAATACTAGCAGTTGAATGCAGCAGTACCTTAGATCTCACACTGCAGATCTACAGCTACATAAATCTCAACTGTCCTTCATTTGGAGACACTGTGCGTCTTTTAGATCCAAAACCCTCTGTCCCCTTTTCCTCCACATTTGTCTCTGTTTTAGGTCTGAGGTGTAGACCTCTATAAAATACACAATTTAAAGCCTAAGTTTACCTACAAAAAAATACAAAATAAGCACAAGGAACATTACTTACCTACAGTGAAATATATCCCTTGTGCTTCTGTATTCTTATTCAGTAGAAATATTCCATCCTCCGATGTCCCCCCACCCCCATCACCATTATCTTCTGGTATAATGGGGTCAATAGGTCTGAGGAGCTGTCACAGGCTTTCATCGAGATAGCTTGACTATGCCCACCCTTTCCACTCCTCCATTCATATAAGCCATTACAACTTCTATGACTGAAACAGGATCTATAGATGGAGGGGGTGGACTTTTCAATCATCCGCCCGTCCTCCATTCATAGATCCTGTTTCATTCATATACACTGAAAAAAACCCCTAGACCTTTAGACCAATCTAGCCTATAGCTCACCCAGGTGCTTATTTAACTTTCCGTGACAGTGGCAGCATCCTCTGGTGTTTATACCCTTGGACCCAAAATGTCTTCTGTCTCTGGCCATGCAGTAGCTCTCCATAGACTAGAGATGCTATGGGCACAGGGCCATTCATGCCTCTGGGTAGCTACTGACCAGCTACAGGCATGCTAAGCTAAGCTGAGCTGTATGTGCCAATAATTGATACTGGTCACTAACTAGGAGTAAGCAGGGGTGGACTGACTATTTGGAAACTCGGGCACTGCCCGAGGGCCCGGGGTCAGTAGGGGGCCCCATGCGATGCCCCTGGTACCTTTTTCATGGGCTTTTTTGAGTTTGGGCAAGGACACAGGGGCCCCATGATCCCTATTGAGCTGTCAGTCCGCCCCTGGGAGTAAGTAAGCAGATCAGGAAAGTCATATCTCCATATCCGCATACCTGTTCAGATCAGAGACTCATAAAATTAAAGTCAAAGGGTTAGCATGACACCTAGATGAAGAACATTATCAAAAGGACAAGTCAACAGTGGTAGCCAGCACATCTCTCATGACAGATTTCCTTTAAGAATGAATTAATTTTTTAACACAAGATCTCATTCCTGCCTGCTCATTCTTCTAGAGCACTCCTCCCCGTTACATTAGGCCATCTCGCAACCTTTTAGCTTTTAAGCACTCCTTAAAATCATTTTTTGGTGATAATTACCCTATTCTATACAACTTCTCTCTCTTCTCTTCCCTAAAGCAATAGAGCAAATTACAGTTCTGAATACTTTCCATGCTACTATGTACAGCTCCATTTGTTAGCAACTTTTGTCTTTAAAAAAACATGAATTATTTCCTCTTAAAGTTGGCCATTAATGGAAAGAATTTCTTTCCTATAACCACGGGCCCCGATCTGCAGCTCCTCGCACCCCGCCCGCTGTGGGGATGGCCTTGGTGGCTGGGCGGGGGGCCTGAGGGAGGGTACCCGGCGGTGGCGTGGCCGCGGTCCAGACGGGACTGTCCCTCGGTCTGGTTCCGGACCGCGCTCTGCCATTTGGTGACCACTGTTCTAGTGTGTCATCATTGCCCCTCCGTAGATAAGTGAGCATTGTCACCCTAGATAAGCAAGTGTGTTACTGGCAGAAGCACAAGGTAAAAATAAGAAAACAAATGCAGCCACCACATCTAAGTACTGTACTGGTAAACACCCTTCTTTATTATATGTAGGGTTAACTTTCTCAAAATGGTGTTGATGTCGCAATTGCTATATATCCTCTATAATTATCCTATCTGGATACTCCAGCAGATATATAGAAAAATTGAATCCCTCTTCAGGGACCTTATTTGGAAGGGAAAAATGGTGGTGGTCTGGCCTCCCAAATACAGCAGTTGCAGGATGGGAAACTCTTACAAGATCCCATTAAACATGGCTGGATACAGGGGGGTGCTGTGGAGGGCTGCAAACCCCCCCCCCCCCCACAGATTTCAGTTGCACCCAAAATCAAATTGCCCCCTCCATGGCTCTACTCTGTACATTATACCCAGCCAATAAACTGCCAGGGCCAGGACACAGCTGGTGTAATGTGCAGTGGGGGAGGTTGGGAGGCACCAGTAGCATCGCTAGTGCAGGCATCCAGGGGCTGCCATGCTCCGATCACCGGCACCTAAATCATCTTTTCCTGCCTGTCAAACCTGTTAAACAGAGCTGGGGAAACGTCCCCTGAGCTACTCCTTCCCTTCTATGGAGGAACACCAGTAGGAACCTGGGAGGAAGAACATCGACCCTTCCCTTCATTTAGCCATGCTATATACACAGTCTGAGGTCGTGCATTGATGGGAGAAGAATTATCATAGAGGTAAAGTAAGCATGGATAGAGAAGAATTATAATGAACATTGAGAAAAATGGCGGTGGAGAGAAGTGAAGGAGAATAAATCAGATAGGAGACTGGCAAGGATGGAGATAAATGAGAAATGCTCAGGGTAGAGAATACATGTTTATAGAAGAAGGGTCACAGAGAAGAGTTACAGAGGAAATGAGTGTCTGTAGATAGAAGATTTGGTAGTGGTGGTGGTTTGGGGGGGGTAATAGGAGGATTTAGCCCAGGGTCAGACATAGGGAACACAGGGATCATAGCATTTCTTTATACCGCATTACAATTACACTGCCCTTGCGATCCGCTGCGGGTGTCAGTACAAAGTTAATGACACCCAAAACAGACCTCAAATGCAGTGTAGTTTGCCTGCACCAGATCACAGGGTACAAAATGACCATATAATTCAAAAAAGGTGCCTGCACATCCCTGGTGTGATTTGAGCCCATTCACAATGGATTCAAATCGCACCTCACTGAATGGCACGTGAATTGTACAGGAATGCGGTGCTGTTCCTGTGCGACTCACATGTGGGTTATAATGTGAACTGGGGCTTATGGTGACATTTGTACAGAAAGGGAGGGGGTTGGGTGGGGAAGAATGGAAACATGCTTCTAGAGGAGGTGTATAAAGAATTGTGCTAGAATGGTTAGGCAAAATCTGTCCTCTACCTCACTTATTACTGACTCTGGACCTCTACCTCATCTACTACTGACCCCTGAAAACTCTACCTCATCTACTACTGACCCCTGAATTCTACCTCATCTACTACTAACCCCTGAATTCTACCTCATCTACTACAGATCCCTGAATTCTACCTCATCTACTACTGACCCCTGAATTCTACCTCATCTACTACTGACCCCTAAACTCTGCCACATCTACTACTGACCCCTAAACTCTGCCACATCTACTACTGATCCCTGAAATTCTACTTCATCTACTACTGACCCCTGAATTCTACCTCATCTACTACTGACCCCTGAATTCTACCTCATCTACTACTGACCCCTGAATTCTACCTCATCTACTACTGACCCCCCCTAAACTCTGCCACATCTACTACTGACCCCTAAACTCTGCCAACTCTGCCAACTCACTCATCTACTACTGATCCCTGAATTCTACCTCATCTACTACAGACCCCTGAATTCTACCTCATCTACTACTGACCCCTGAATTCTACCTCATCTACTACTGACCCCTGAACTCTGCCTCATCTACTACTGACCCCTAAACTCTGCCACATCTACTACTGACCCCTAAACTCTGCCACATCTACTACTGACCCCTGAACTCTACTTCATCTACTACTGACCCCTGAATTCTACCTCATCTACTACTGACCCCTGAATTCTACCTCATCTACTACTGACCCCCTGAATTCTACCTCATCTACTACTGACCCCTGAACTCTGCCTCATCTACTACTGACCCCTGAATTCTACCTCATCTACTACTGACCCCTGAATTCTACCCTCATCTACTACTGACCCCTGAATTCTGTCTCATCTACTACTGATCCCTGAATTCTGTCTCATCTACTACTGATCCCTGAATTCTGTCTCATCTACTACTGACCCCTAAACTCTGCCTCATCTACTACTGACCCCTGAACTCTGCCTCATCTACTACTACTGACCCCTGAACGCTGCCTCATCTACTACTGACCCCTGAATTCTACCTCATCTACTACTGACCCCTGAATTCTGTCTCATCTACTACTGATCCCTGAATTCTGCCTCATCTACTACTGACCCCTGAATTCTACCTCATCTACTACTGACCCCTGAATTCTGTCTCATCTACTACTGATCCCTGAATTCTGTCTCATCTACTACTGATCCCTGAATTCTGTCTCATCTACTACTGATCCCTGAATTCTGCCTCATCTACTACTGACCCCTGAACTCTGCCTGATCTACTACTGACCCCTGAACGCTGCCTAATCTACTACTGACCCCTGAATTCTACCTCATCTACTACTGACCCCTGAACTCTGCCTCATCTACTACTGACCCCTTAACTCGGTCTCATCTATGACTGACCCCTGAACTCTGCTTCACTACTATTGACCTGTAAACTATGTCTCATCTGCTAATGACCCTTGAACTCTGTCTCATCTGCTACTGGCCTCTGAACTCTGCCTCATCTACTACCGAGCCCTGTGCTCTGCCTTGTGGACCCCTGTACACTGCCCTGTTGACCAATGTCTTCCCCCCTGCAGACCCCTGTATATGGCCTTTCTGACCCCTGTCCTCTGCCATGTTGACCCCATACACTACCCTTCTGACTCCTCTTCTCTGTCTTGCTGACCCCATACACTACCCTTCTGACCTGTCCTTCTCCATGATGACCACTGTACAGTGCCGTACAAACAAATGACCTCTATACACTGCCCTACAAACTGCTGACCCGATCTATTGCCATGACCTCCCATCCTCAGCCCCCCCGAACATTTTTTACTGCACCCCCACATCAGAGAGTCTGTATCCAGCCCTGCATTCAAGTGGATATTCTCATCTCAAATGCCACAGAATTCCCTAGTTTCTGTGCTGGAAGCTGGGCATTTTCCATTTAACCAGCAGTACCCTAACCTTTAACTGATTCACAAAACCTGGAGGGCAGTGCAGGCAGTGAGTGAACATTCCGGATATTCTCAGTATATGCCCATATAGAACAATCCCAACTATCTGGAATTAGGTAAATTAGAGGGTTTTGATAACTGAAAGAAAGCAGGCAATAGAATTCCTCACCAATTATATGTAAAGGACAAACTGATGTATTTTCAGTTCATTGTCAGTCGATACCAACTCTCTCACAAGTTGTTTTTTCAATACCTACAACTTCGCCACACCTTACATAAGCAATCACGCTCATCCCCAATGGTTTACAACCCTTCTGTATGTCGTACATTTGTGGCTCTGCACCCTCATTAACTTCCAAAAGGGGTTTATAGGGGACTTGTACTTCATTCTCTTAGTGGCAGCGAGTTCTAAGATACACTTGCAATGAGGAAAGAGCCGGAGGCAGGATCTACAGTAGGTGATATAGCTGAAGTTCAATGGATGGCAGCGCTTGAGGTGATACCTTCTCTAGTGCTGCTGGCACATTAATTTGTATGCTCTGGCAGTGCCCTAAATTATTATGATATTGGTCAACTGTCTTTCAAACTATTCAGGATGTCTTTCAGGACTTGTGCCCCATTCAACTGCCATTTGACCCTAAGATTGCCCTCCTGAGAATTCTCCGTAAGGATGGAGTACCATTAATCTAAATTACTGCTGGTGTCTTTATTGTTCCTTGCACGTAAACGAATGTCTCAGCAATGGCTATCTCCTGGTCCTCCTACCTTTCTACAAGAGTATAATCCAGTTGATGCCATTTTAGAGAGAGAAAAATGAAGATATGAACATAGGGGTTGTCAAAAAAAATCTGGTCCCCTTGTCTATGGTCTCCTTCATTGGCCTTCTCTTCCTCGTCTTCTCTAAACATATTTAACGGAATAATCTTTTATCTGTCAAACTAACTGCTGGTGATGTCCATTGTCAAGCCTTTATTTCTGTACTCTTTGGGTCACCTTCCAATCTTACATGTTATGCTATGTACATCGTAACTTTCTACACATTT